ATTATTTATAATTTATAAGTAAATAGTAAACCTTTTCTATTATGACAAAATAAGACCAAAATCGAATTACTTTTGGTAAACATATTTAAACTATCTAAATTTTCAACAAATTTTGACTCATACTTAAATAAAATATTAATAATATTAAGTTAAAATACAAATACATATATAAAACAAAACAATGTTAATGTAATATTTTTTGGTATTCTTTTAATTTTTATAAAACCTTATGGAAATAAAAAAACATATTTTTTTTGTTAAATGAAAGGAGTACCACATTATTATGAATAATTAATCCTAATGTGATTCTAATTACAAAATTTAAAAAGCTATCATTAAAAATTTAAGTAGGTACGTTTTTTTGGTGTAATTTGGCAGAAGTTCAAAGATTTTTTTCCAAATAACCGCTCTATTTATCAAACACTATGGTGCCTTCATGAAATTAATTGATAGCACTATTTTAATACTTTCGTACATTGTATAAAGGTTTTTTTTTCGTAAACAATTATTAATTCCCTGCCTAACAACGGGAATAATAAACTTATTATTCACGATGAGCATTATCTCTCGTATAATAACTATTAATAAATCCCGAAATAACAATAAAATATCTGTGATATTAAGTATAAAATATTAGTAATATTAATTAAAACCGGAATTCCTACAATTTTAATTTTCGAATTGCGAGGTTGTTATTTTGTAATGTTTTTAGTCCGCATCTATTTATAACGCCGGTTGCCGTTGTATTATTAATAGACCTTACACGAAATGAAACATATCTTCGTACATTTCACGATTTAAATATAAATTTATTTGCAGCTTCGAAACTTTTCCCACACGAAACTGTTACGCAACATAAACCATCAGAAATTTGGCCAAAAACAATAATTTGAATTAAGTGTATTACATAAGTCCTCCCAGGGACACCCTGTATATTATGTATCTCCCATAACGCGTTTAAACCGTTAACTTTTAGCCGTGTATAATTGTATATTTACATTTTATTAGTTTTAATTTACAATACACAAGGTGTTGGTGCAATTTAACGCCAAAATATAATTTTCACCTCATTGTTTCCATCCAAGGTTTTTTTATGATGCCATGCCATGTAAACACAACTAAGTGGAAAATGTATCTTATTTACAAATCAAACTCAAACGCAATTTTAATGAAAAAAAATCTATATATAGCAACGTCTAATTAACCAATGAAGTTCATTAGAATTTTTCATATTTTTACGATTGCATTGAACGAATTAAACCTGTAATTTATCATGAGTTTGTATGAATTGCGTCAAAATTAATTTAAAAAAGCGGTGTTTCAAAGTATTTATTTATCTTTATTTTTTGAAAACTGAATACTAGATAGTAAATAGTAAATTATATAACACATTTTATAAACGCCATTTATAGTTTGCAAATCGGGTTTTTAATAAACAAGTGAATTTGAATTAAGAATTTGCACTAAAATTAAATAAGAATAATTGGTGACATTTTAGTTGACGGATTTATTTAATGTTATTTGATAAAATAAAATTTGCAATACGTACGTACATATGTATGTAGTTAATTTATTTAAATGAAACCCTTTAATTTTAAACTTTTCCAACGAATAAAATGAATTAAACAAACAATAGAAATTATTTTAAATTCAAAAGGATTACAAAAATTTTGTTAGTTAATTAATATAATTTTACAATAATTAAAATTTAACATTTGTTTATAATTTAATTAAAAGTTTACATAAATCGATATATATGAAAATAGTTTAAAGCACAAAATATTAAAAATTTAGTAGTTTTTAGTAAGAATTTATAAATTGCAAAAAACTAAAAACTGATGTTTTCAATGTCTTTAAAGCCTTGTTACAATTAGACGCCTGAGCATTTTTTGATAGAAAAAATATTTATTACATGTATATACAAAATATCGTAAAAAATTGATCATGGCCATTTTTTTTTCATGAACGTGTCGGGCTTAAAAAAAAGCTTAACCCCAACTTTGCGGTATCCTATACCCCCTACGAATTAACGTAAAAACAATTTTTTTTTGTTTTTATTTGGATTTAATTTATTTTTGGAACTAGTATTTTAAAAAAAATTTAGTTAGCATTATCCTCTACAATGAGTCAATGTTCTAGGACGAAAAATTTAAAAATTAGGTAGCGCTATTAAAATAAAAATTTAACCCAACTTTTTAACTTATTTTCTACGATTGACGGTTTTGTAGTTATAGCTATAGCTATTTATAAAGATGTAAAAAAACCGTTTATTTAAGAATAAAGTATATTTTGTCAATCCTCTAATCCTTTTCTGCACGTATGTAAATATTAATTCAGTCCAATTTTGAGCTCTTAACATAAATTTTAAGAACTGGAAGAACTAGGTTAAAATTTTTCCATTAAAAAAGCTACCTACATGCTTCTTGATTTTTTTCTAAAGTAAAGTATCTTATTGGTTTAAAGTTAGGTTTTCTATGAAATTGGTTTTGCTGTTAACTTGTTCATGGTTGACTTTAGAGAAAAAAGTAAAACACTTTTGTAGGAGATTTACTCTTCTTCAAAAAAGTTCAAAATTAATAATTTATTATGTAGGTATTTAAAGTCATCCAAATTTAAAATTTTATTTTAATTTAATCATTAAATATTTTACAAAATTGTTTTTGGTACATAACAAATAAAGTAATTAAGTGAAAAAAACATTATTACAATATATATTATTTAAAACCATTAATCAAGACATTTTGCTAAATTTTTTAATATTTATAACTTTTATTTTATATATACATACATCTCTAAAATTATCTTAAATATTTAATATTTAATTTTGTTTATAAATATATCTAAAATTAATATTTAAGATATATTTTATATATGAATTTTAAAGATTCGATTTATATGACCTTTTTGTGTAAAACTAAATTTTCCACAATAATGCAGGGTCAGCATTTATATGTAAACTTACTTAGGAACTTGTATATATCATATTTATGATATCACGCCGATATAATATATTATATCAAGTTTACAAGTTTTTGCTAACATTAAATCATATTTTACTGCTAAATTAAACTTGTTATCTTTGCGAAAAAGGGATGAAAAGGCCATAATCATGCTTGATTGGATTAGTAAAAGAAAGTTTGAAAAAAACATAGAATGTGAAAAAAACATCTGAAAAAACGGTTAAAAAACATGAAAAATTAAATAAAAAAACGGATGTTTTTTTCACGCTACCTCTACTACTACTAATACAGTACTAGACATTCCATACGATATATAGGTATGTAAGTCGCAAACGGTCTATCATAGGAAAAAAGTTAATATGAATTTGTAGGTTTTTTCGATATAAACAACCTTTTTATTTACAGTGCTGTGTTAAATAGGGGTCGAAAAGCGATAAATTGCACTGTTTAATTATTCAGAGCCCTAAGGATTAATGCAAAAAAATACTATGGTCAACCATTTTTCGAAAACCGCCTTGTACTATGTTTCTTTTTTATACATTTTATAAAATTGCTTGTGCCTCTGGCGAAATTTAAACGACTGTGGTATTACTTAAGATAATAATACTTATTGTAGAAAATCTGTCTTGAAAAAATCTTAATATTTAACAAGTCAAGAATAAAAAGAATAATTTAAGAGTGTCTGTCGGCTATAATATTAGCATACAAATAAGAAATTCCCAGGTAATGTTGTTGGATCGCGACTCATAATCTTCTGGAGTTTTTAAGATGGAAAGAAACCTCCGTTTCGACATTATTCGTGCGCATTAATCAAAGCCGATGTCTGTGTCGTTGCATCTTTTCCTTAAATTATGCAACAAAACTCAAAATTGATGGATGTTTTCCACTGAAGTTTTACGGGAGACACCTTTAGTAATTAGTTTAGTCAATTGTTGACTGAGTGTAGCAATATTAGGTTTGTGTGGGTTGATACTAATTTTAAATTTGCCTGGAATGTGTTTGCTTATTTCAAATTTATATTATCAAACATTGCTCATCATTGACTTTTTAAGCTTAATCACTTTAATATACACAGATAAGCGATTAGTAATTTTTATCAGGGTTTAGTCTGTTTTTACAATTTACGACATATTTTAAATATTTGAACGATTCTCATTTTATATAATTATTTAATTTCACAACTAGTTTTTTCTAGTTCTTGCTAAATTGGTACGTTTAATCCAAAAACGGATAATGTAAAAAATTTAATTAAATAAAATTAGTCATGATTGTGTAAACGATTATAAATACAAACACACACATTTTAACCTGTTTAGTGAGTGTTTTATCTTTTTACATAAATCAACAAAAGTAAAAATATAATTTCCACAACTAAACGAAACCCAATAAATCAAACATATCAAAGGTGAAATGCGATTTTAAACATCAATAATTTTTCATTTTATTTGAGTTTTTGAGTATACTCAAAAACTCAAATAAAATGAAAAATTATTATCTTATAAGATCGCAAATTTTGCTTACTTCTATTATTAACAAATAGAAAACAATTTAAATAAGAAAACCGCTGTTCCTTGAATAAATTTACAAAGTTGTATGCATTCATTAGTGATTAGATTAAATTTAAGATAAACAACTGTTTTTAATTAAATATAAGTTATATTATTTTATACATAAAAAATATATCATTTTGATTTTTTTAGTTAATGTAAGTAAAAAACTAGACTAATCAAATTGTTTTTAGAAAATAAATTTGAATTAGAACTAATTAATAAAAATAATTTGAGTGGTAGTGCTAAACCAATAAATGATTTATGGTTCAGTTATCTTAAATAATAAAAACAAATTGAAATGTAATTTAATGGCGCCAAATCGTTATTTGAATATTTCATTTAATAAACATGAATATAGCGAAAAATTAAACTGGAAGCGCCTATTTAAAATGTTATGTATAGTGCTGTTAAAGTTTGTTTAGGATTTATAAATATTTAATCGCGTGTGCGTTATCCGGCGGAACTTGCGGTTAAAATAAAACTGACTCACTTGTAATATAAATCCAGCAGAAACAATCACCAGAGCAACAGACAACCGAATGTGGTAGATGTAGATCCAAATTAAAGTGATCACAAGTATGTATGTTTTTTTCTAGACAATCAACAACAACCTCAAAACTAGCGGAGATTATTATAGAGAAACAGTACAGTACACCTCGCCGAATCTATCTAACAAGAGAACACATTTACAAAGACGCGGTATAATCGCCGTGTTTGGTTGTGATGTGGTTAATTTTTCCGAATTGTAGTACAATAATATGTGCGCGACTCGTAAAAACTTGGATTGTATTTTCAAGCGTCGCGGGCAAGCTAAGCGTACAGGCAATAGCGAGGGACTGAAGAACTGGCGGCGGGAGCAGCGCGCGTGAAGCGTCCGACTGTCGGGCGTGCGCACCGGGGCGCCGGCCGAAAAGGGGGGACCGAGGGGCGCCCGGGGGCGGGCGGGCGGCAGGCAGGCAGCCGGAGCGGCGGTGGCGGCGGCAGCGGCGAACGCGAGAGTTGCGCAATTCCGACGGTCCCCCCGCGACGTGTGTGTGTGCGGCACACGGACATGGAAGCGACCCCATCTAATCAGACACGTAACCGCCGCACAGTGCCTATCGAGGGATTTTCGAAAAAAAAAGAAATTTTGGAAAAAATTTAAAAATGTATTCTTTTTTTTTATTTCTGTTTTTATTAATATGTATATGTTTTAAATTTTTATCATTATCACTATAAAAAAACAACAAAAAATATATAAAATATTGTGACAAAGATAAATGTTGTTAAGCGTGGTCAACAGTAAAATCTTGTCGAACATCGGTAAAATGCACCATTTTCGAATAAAAATAAAATAATAAATTTCAACAAAAAATTTAATTTAATATATTTAATAGGGTGGAGCGAAAAAAATTTTTTTTTCCTTAGCCTGGGGGTGGAATTTGTAGCCTATAAAAAAGAAAATTAAAAAAAAAAAAATTTACTCAACGTCTTGAGGTGGCCCACTGATTTTTTAAATTAAATTTAAGTTAAAATTCTTTTGAATCTTCAAATTTATCTAAAAATAAACAAATTTGATCGTGTTCAACTCGAAATTCGCTCTATTGCCTCAGAAAAGCATGTTACTATTTTGGAATTTTTTTAAAAACAACAATATGACCACAAAAATTTTATAAGTTCATAACTGTTAATTAGCAAAAAAGAGGACACTCCGCAGTTTCCGGAACACTTTTAAAAAAAAAAATTTTTTTGCTCCACCCTAATATTTAACAAAAAAATTCATATACTTATTTCCCGAAAATACATTATTTTATCTCAAACCTAGGGGCGATTTGCCGACCTGTTCATACAAAGTTTTCTTATTATTTTAGCCCTAAAAACCGCTTGTAGATTATTGCACACTATTTTTGAGACACCCTGTATACATATCTATGATTTTTTATGTACATTATTATTGAATAGTATATTATTATACGAGACATAATAAATTATATCTATACTTTATCTATTTTGCGTTCATAATGACTTCATTATAACACCGCTTTCGGTGCTGTAATGAGATACTTTATACCACCCAAAATTTTGATTTTATAGGTTGGCTATACTTTAAACAGCATAATATTTTGCATATTGGTTATAATATTTTTATGATTTTTCTAGTACTTACGAGACTTTTCTGGCAATAAATTTTGTTTAAAATCAAAGAAAATCCTTTTTTTCTTCTTTAACATTAAAAGCCGCTTATTGTAAATTATTGTAAATAAGTAAATTAAGGACGGCATGGCGAATCGATTTTGTCAAACCAATGACTGTGGTTCCAACCATCTAAAGTAAAATTCGACCAAATTAAATTTATTTTTATAGAATGTTTGCAAAATAGATAAAATAGCATAAAGAACTCATGTCATAAGACCTTTTGTCGCACTCTTCCATTAAAAAACTCGCTCCTTCGTCGCTCGTTTTCTAAATGTCCGCGTGCGACAAAATGACGTCTTAAGACAGGGATGGCGAACCTTTTTTAGTGTGCGTGCCAAAAAACTATAAAAAAAAAATTTTCAAATTGTAACGTGCCACAAGTAAATTTTGTAAGTGTTATGAAGATGAAAGTATACAATTTTGTTCTCAAAACGTGCCAAGAAAAATTTAAAACGTGCCACTCATGGCACGCGTGCCATAGGTTCGCCATCCCTGTCTTAAGAAATTAGTTCTTTAATATACTATTATCTACTCCAATAAGTAGATAATTTAATGATTTTAAAAATTAAATAAATAAAATCTGACATCTGTCAAATTATCTAACATTACTTTTTAATTTCTTATTCTCTTTATTTTTTTATTTTTACTAATGACAATTATGCAATAATAGTGGAAAAAGCATAGTATTAGACTCCATATATTTCGTATTACTCGGATAATTTACATCTCTTGCATGTCGGCTTAAAAATAATTGATTGCATGCATTATCCCTCGTATAATAATGTTATATTAAAAACTGACCATATTTGACAACAAAAATAATAAATAATAAAGCTTTTAATTTTATTAAAAACAAAAATTAAAGAATTCGTGTTCACAACTTATTTGGCTATTAACAAAAATTTTGTAAGTTATTATATGTATCGTTAAAATATAAAAGTTAATTAATTTAATTTTTTATTTAATTAGATTATTTAAGTTACCGAAATAATAGAAAAATCTTAATAAGAAAAAGAGTTAGTTGACTACTCAATTTTTGCCACACAAAAACACATTATAACATATTATATTTATATTACTCTTATAAACCATTATTTAATAAAATTATTAATTATAATAATAATTATAATAATAAATAGCTTTATTGTTAAATTTGTTTAACAAAAGGCGAAGTTCAACACATTGACAAAGGGCTGTTGTTCTTCCACTTAACCTAGCTTATAATGGATAATTAATGTGGTAATTCTAGTATATAATAAATTTTTATAAAAAAAAAAAATGAAAAAAAAAATTACATATCCAACATTAATAGGCTTATATAGAAATTAAAGTATAATAAAAGAAAACATAACCAACATTTAACCGAGTACATATTATAGAATAAAAGGAATTTTAACGATTTACATAAATTAAAAAAGTTGTTAAAAATTAATTGTTTTAATTTGGTTTTAAAAAGTAAAATTGAACATAGTTTCAAATTGTTAGGTAACATGTTATATAAAAGTGCAATATTATAGCTAAAACTTCTTTGATAGATAGATTCAAATTCAATACAAACTAGAAAAAATGCTACAATAACTTTTTTGTTGCCTATGTGCAATAGATATTATGACTAAAAAATGCAATTTAATAAGCCTAAAGTAAACAACTTGTAGGTTTGTTTTTTTTAACAATTTATCATTGTTATAATATTTAACATAGCAAACTTATTTTCCCCTTGAAACGCGATACGTAACTTTTTTGCCGAGGCATTCGCATTGCGAAAGAAAAAACAAGTAAAAAGCATTCGACACACCAAACGGCAACATGTGTATGCGCGACACGATGCCGGTAAACTGACGTTAGTTAGAAAAATTACTGTTCGCAAAAGTTTAATGGCAATTTTTTCGATTATATCTTATTGAAGTTACCAGTTTACAAGAAAAGGTCCAAAAGAGATTTTGATAAAAAATAATATTTGTTTATAATAAAATCATTATAAAATGTATTTAACAATCTAGATCGTTTTTGTTGTTCATTAATATTTAATTATTATTGAACCTGTTCTTATCCATAATGCCATGGCACTGCAGTAATCTAAAATGTAAAAGTTTGTTTGAATTAATATAATTATATGTATCAATTTTTTTTTATTTATGGTCAAGAGAACAAGATCTGTTTCTGTAATTTAATATAGTATATTTACAAATGGTCACATGATAATTACCTATGTATTATTAATAGTTAAATATCATTTTACATAGCTAATGCTAGTAAATATTGTATTAGTTTATTGGATATATTAATCAATACCTCTTATGCTAATCTTAATAAACCTAATTAATTATTCTTGTACAAATAAGTACACATTATCCGATCGTTTTAAGTGCGAAAAGTCTTTACGTCACCAATGCCATAACTGCTACGTCAAAAGCTGTATAAGCAAACGGTATCAGTGACATTTTAATATGTTTACGCTTTGGGACGGTCTGTTTATTCATAATATTTTGCCGATGTCCGATGCCAGATGGACTGAACAGAACTTTATTTAATCCCTTTAATACAAAGTCTTAAAAATTATTAAAGATATTATTTGAAAAAAAAAATTGTATACCTTACTCCAGAGGATTAAAGTAGCTTGTAAAAAATCTTAAAATATACCAAAAAACATGTTTATCTCACGTAATTAATGGATGTCCCCTTCATATTATGCATAACAAAAATGACGCCTTTTTAATATAACTCACAAACTAACAATGACGAATCTTTCTGACTATTTTGTTACTACTTCACCAACCTATATTGACCGAAACTCTTATCTCTAGATGGCGCTACCTGTATTAAAATTGTAGGCGTGTATTAATTAGTGTACACTAGTTCTATTAAAACAATTGTTTGTGATTTTATCCTATAAAAAGTAAACGTTAAATGGTCATGGTTTTCAGGATATCTGTAAAAGTCCATATTCTACATTTTCGTTTAAATAAATTTAAAAACAACATAAAACGTTCTTAGAGAAATATGAAAAATGTTTCCATCAAGACCTTATAGACTTTATAAGCCGTTATTGAGTCCAATATAATAAAAATATGATGAGAGACTAAATTTGGGGTTTAATAAGAAAAGTTCATAGCAGAGAGTAAAAAGGTTAACTTTTAAACTTATACAATATTGTTAGCTATATTATAATATAATAGTTAAAGTTAATAAAAACAAAAATACAAATATATTAGATTTGCTTTTTCAAAAGATAAAAATTAAGATATTTTTTTTAAATATTAACCAAAGCAAATTTTTTATGAAATATGGCATACTCCATCTCAGACTCAAAATGCATTAAGTTAATGCCATTAACTTGTTTGAATGATAATCAGGCCAATTTACTAACATGAGCCCAGGCGCGTGTCAAACGGCCCCGCAGACCCCGCCACGCGGGGGGGGCCCCCGGTATATTGGGGGCTCCCGGGCCCCCAATATACTTTATGAAAAAGTAATATCTATGTATATCAAACAAACTCCAAAAATACAAATATGCACATTTAAACATTTCAAATCCATATTTAATTTGTCTCCATTTCTTTCTAACATAAAAAATGTGAACGCCCAAACAATTGTCAACCCTGGCTGGTCGAACCCTCATGATTCCCATAGGTTATTCCCCGTTATAATGGGAATTTCCGGTTAT